TAAATGGAACCTGTACCATGATTGTCTCAAAGCAACAAAAAGTGCATAATCGTTCCATGCCCAAGTGTCGGCCCCATAAGTGTCAGAATCGCTGGACCCCAAAAATGCCAATTGTCCAATTTGTGCCTTAAAACCAAGCTTAAAAGGGTACCGATTAAAATAATATGACTTCTGACTAGGGTTGGAGCAAAGTCGACAGCCCCAGTTTCTGTTGGCAACGATTTTCATGCGCGCAGGTGACTCTGGCACGCGAATCAACCGGGTGTGTCCGCGCGTGTGCCTACTTTTTTTGGGAGGGTACTCTTTGGGTTGGTTTCAAGGGCCCAAGCAAAATGCAAGGGTTCCGATAGAGCACGGTCGATCTTCAAGAAACCCCCAAACTCGCATGGAAGTTCACAAGTGTGGCAAGGCTCCCGATTTGCAGACACACGCAACTAGATTCTCCCCCAATCTCCTCAACGATTTGTGCCTGAAACAGGCCAAAAACGCCCCAATTCCACTTACAGAGGGTTTTTTTGTTCCAGAAAACCAAGCAATCGGCTCACTGTCTCGCAGGTATTAACTTGCTGAGCAACGGCACTCGCAGTATCCAGGTCATGCCCTTTCCCTGACAGTTTCGCCTTCAAAGCATTACAGTCATTGAGTGTCGCTCGTTGAGAGTCACTCGGAGGGGGGGCTTGAGGGTGGGACGATGGTAACTCACTTCCGATCGCGTGAATTGGCCAAAAAAAAACTCCGAAACTTTTGTTTGCCGCTAAAATGGGTCCCAACAAGCGAATGAAGCCCGAAACGGAACTCGGGAAGTGAGGCAACAATACAACCACAATACAACCATCACCCCCTCGACCAGAGTACAACCAAGAACCACAGCACTCCAATCACCTTCCACTCGTCCAACAAAAACGACCTCATGAAGCCAGAGTGGCGTTTCCGGCCCCCGGCCTCCGCTTCGCTTGTTGTTGTCGTCGCTGCCGCCGCGGGTCCGCATCTAGGGACTCAAGGAAGCCCAGGCCCTTTCCCCTTTGGCTTTTGGCTTGCAGCTGAGTTGAGTGGATTTGCACAAAAAATGCAAGGTGTATCTGGACCCGAAGGAACTCCCCAATTCACCAACCCTAAAGTTGGGGTGTTTTTTTCTTCTTCAGATTTTGGGGGTCCAGGCAGCAACTTGATGTTGGCCACTGAGATGGTCTTGAGAAGTTGGTTCAGGAACTCATGGAATTAAACACCAAGGTGGCCAGCTGGGCTGTTCGAAATGGAGGGTTGGTCAGAACTGGATCCCGCCTGGGGAGCCACATAAGGGTACCAACTCCTGTAACCCACGGGTCGGCAGGTTGCCCCTCCACAAAAACCTATTCGCAGAATATCTTCAACCAAAAGAGCCACGATTTACTACTGCGCTTGCAAAATCTTTGGTCCCTTCTCGATTTTTGAGCCAACCTCAGCAGCAGACCTATGCCCCCCCCCCCCCCCCCGAAAGACGGCATGCATACGCCCGCGCTCTCAGGCGCGCACATGGACCTTGCCGCCCATGCGCGCTCCCGCGGCGCCATTGAAGCCGTCCCTGGCGATCGCACGAGAGGGGTTGCACAGGCCCAGTGATGCCATTTCTTGGTGCGAGAAGGGAATGAGGGAATGCATCCAGGGGTCCGCTCAAAGGAAACCACAAGGGATGGCCAAAAAAGGTCCAGGAGCTGGCTTTACCACTAAACTGGTCCAGACCCAAAAAGTGACTGAAGTCCAAGAACTCGAGGAGTGAGCATCCCTCGAAATGAAGCACAATGCAAGACGGTGTGAGCAACTGGAACACGAGGGACCCTTTCTGGAACACATCACGCCTCTCAACATGCTTGAGATACACCCATGCCTACCAGTCAAAACCACATTCCTGCACAACAAATGGGGACATGACATAAACATACTGGATAATTCACTCGTGAACATAAACTCGACATCTGCGTGAGTTGGCGATGTAATTTGCCAAATCAAGCATATCCCAAGTGGATCACAAAGAATGTGTGTGTGTGTGTGTGTGTGTGTGTGTGTGTGTGTGTGTGTGTGTGTGTGTGTGTGTGTGTGTGTGTGTGTGTGTGTGTGTGTGTGTGTGCGTGTGTGTTGTCTTTATCCATATGGAAAGTCCAAGAAGCCCAGTTAAACCAACAGGTGAAAACAATGAGCATCTCATACATGGAAGTGGCTGGATCCACAAAACGGCCGCCACTGTGCGGGCACATCCCCGCTTGCCCCGTGAAAGCAAAACCATCAACGTTAAGACCCCGACAAAAGGGGCAACAAAGCCCAATCCCACAAATCCTTAGGGGCGAAACAACGCCTAGTGCCTAGTGCCCAAGGTCGACTGGGGTCCATGGGACCCTTAGACCTTGATCTCCTTTGTTGCTTGATGGAAAGCAAGATCCAGGCAATTCTTGGCAACCCACTCGCAAAAAACACTTCACTCCTGCGCAGTTATGCGGAAAGACCTAGCTGAGTAAACACCACCACCAAGCCGCCCGATTCTCACCTCCGATCGAGCAAAACAAGTTCCCACACTTTGCTTTGTCATTGGAATGGCAACCAAGAGTGGCTCACTCCTCAGAAACGGGACTCAAGGATCCAGTGATTGTTTCTCAAGAACGGGAACCCCATCCAGCTCTTTTTCGGTAGTTTCCTTTTGGCTTCCTTTTCAAACCGTCCAAGAACTTTGTTGCTGTTGACCCCTCTGCACAAAGTTTAAAACTTTTTGTGGCTTTAACGGAAAACCCCTTCACTTTCCCAACGAGTCAAAGTCTAAAGATCCAAGCCAGCAGTTGGTTGAAACGGGGCCCCCGGTTGTGAAACCCCCCAAGTTTGAGGCCAAGCCGCCCGATCGACCGATCGGTCCCGCATCGCGCGGTCGAGCTGGGGCCGGAGCCCTTGGGCGGGGAACCTGGGCGCCACGCGCTGCCTCAGAACGCATCGACATGCATTCCTGCATGGGGCGTGTCGCGTGCTTTTGTCAACCCACCCCCCCTTCCCCCACCAAAAAAAGAAGAAAGGTGGTGGTTCTTCGGGTTTTACAACCAAAAACGCCGAGTGGGAAGGAAGGTGGTTCTTCTTTTGGCTTTACTTTAGAACAACCAGTCAGAAGGGGTAGTGTGCCCTGAACAAAAGACACCCTCATGCAAACTGCTCCCCACCCGCCACCCCCCAACACGGGGCTCTTGTGCCGGTGGGTGCAGGGGCTCGTGTTCTTACTGTTGGGTGTCTCGTTTTGGGAGACCCCAGCATAAGGGCAAACAATTTGCCCCTGGAAACGGAACGCTAAAATGGGTTTGCATTTTAGTTGGGGACCCTGTGGACATCACTTTCCACTAGGCACTGCGGGAACCCCCCCATCAAAACTCATTGCAACATGTTGCACACTTCAAAAGCTCTTCGGTCACTACTAAGTTGGCCCGGGTGCTCTTAGGTTTTCGTTTTTTCACGTTTCCACCCGCACGTTCTCAAAAGGAGCCCCGAGCCCTGCCAACGATCGGCTCGTCTGAGGCAACGGCTCGCCCTTGAACTCCGGCGCCTTCCACTCCGTGATGGTGATGCCTCGGACGTCGAATCCGGCGCCCACGTGGGAGGCTCTCCTAAGAACCACCTGGCAAGCTGCAAAGGGTCCCGAAATCCGGGAGATTCCACGCAACCGGTCTTGTTGATCCCGAACTAAACCTCCAGATAGTTCATGTGCGGGCCCAAGTGTGGCTGGTACATCACTCCATCATTTCTGGGTGAGTGCGCCCAGCCAAACCCGAAACCCCCACCATTGCCTCTACCGGACGCTGAGGAACCGGCCTCCCGGCATCCTGATGTGAGCGGTCCAAACTCTTCCAAGGGACAAATTGCGAGCCCCCTGTTACCGGGAAATGTGGTGGGTGCCTGCATCTCATGAACCAATAGACTGGACATTGTGACAAAACCCGAGCGCTACTATGTGCTATAGTGACGATTTTCCCTCATGGACACAATCCACGCAGCTGGGACTGATGATTTACCCCAGTAGCAACTATGGTTTCATTCATCGCAACAGGTGCAGCATTCTTGCTCATCCACAACATACCCACCACTGACATTGGGACTAGTGCGAGTAACTCACATGTCTCGTGGGTATTTGGTGGAGCGTGCCTCCTGTGATAACAACTGACCATCGCTCGTACGCCTAGGCTTTAGCGGCTCATTGTAGACAAACCATATTGAAGTCTTATAGAAGGGGTCCATAGGGAACTTACCCGCCAGCCGGCATGGGCGTGAATATGTCTCTCAAGGTTCTAAGTGCCCGAGCCCTCAATTTGTGGGTGTGCAGCCCCAAGACTAAGTCGTATTCACAGGGCAATATGAGGAACTGAGCTGAGTATGAGGGGTGGGGGATCAGTTGCGCACACAGATTTGGATCAGTTGCGCACACAAAACCCCCTGAGTTCTGGCTCAGTTACGCACACAGATTTGGCTCAGTTGCGCACACAGAGCTCTAGATGCATGGAATTGGTGGCATCAGAAGGGGTGGGTGGGTGGCTTGGGTGGGTGGGTGGGGTGGGTGGGGTGGGCGGGTCCAGAAAGGAACGCACACAAGAGATGGGGTAGGTGGATGGAAGTGGTGGCATCACAAGAGATGGGGTAGGTGGATGGAATCAGAAGGGGTGGGTGGGGTGGGGTGGGGTGGGTGGGGTGGGGTGGGGTGGGGTGGGGTGGGGTGGGGTGGGGTGGGGTGGGGTGGGGTGGGGTGGGGTGGGGTGGGGTGGGGTGGGGTGGGGTGGGGTGGGGTGGGGTGGGGTGGGGTGGGGTGGGGTGGGGTGGGGTGGGGTGGGGTGGGGTGGGGTGGGGGTGGGGTGGGGTGGGGTGGGGTGGGGTGGGGTGGGGTGGGGTGGGGTGGGGTGGGGTGGGGTGGGGTGGGGTGGGGTGGGGTGGGGTGGGGGGGGTGGGGTGGGGTGGGGTGGGTGGGGTGGGGTGGGGTGGGGTGGGGTGGGGTGGGGTGGGGTGGGGTGGGGTGGGGTGGGGTGGGGTGGGGTGGGGTGGGGTGGGGTGGGGTGGGGTGGGGTGGGGTGGGGTGGGGTGGGGTGGGGTGGGGTGGGGTGGGGTGGGGTGGGGTGGGGTGGGGTGGGGTGGGGTGGGGTGGGGTGGGGTGGGGTGGGGTGGGGTGGGGTGGGGTGGGGTGGGGTGGGGTGGGGTGGGGTGGGGTGGGGTGGGGTGGGGTGGGGTGGGGTGGGGTGGGTGGGGTGGGTGGGGTCCAGAAAGGAACGCACACAAGAGATGGGGTAGGTGGATGGAAGTGGCGGCATCAGAAGGGCAAGAATGGGTTTGTAGCAATGGCTTACATGAGGGTCATACACACAAAACACTGGGTGAAATAGTGTTATTCCATCCTAGCTTGCGGATAAAAAGATCTGGCTATATCAGCAGGACGAATCAGGTAAACCTTAAGTCAATGTAGCAATGGTTTACATGAGGTTCATACACAAAAGACACTTGGTGAAATAGTGTTATACCATCCTATCTTGCAGATAAAAAAGATCAGCCTGTATCAGCAGGACGAATCAGGTAAACCGCGAGTCAATGTCTTTATCCTCCACAAGACTTAAATTCGGTAGATGAGATAGGGGTTGTGGCGAAGGTTCCGAGGGACGCTCCGGGCCAGGAGTGCCAGGAGGGCATGTGCAGTAGACGCTCCGGGCCCAAGGTAAACAAGTCTGCGTGCACAACTGAGCCGGGCCTCGCGTGCACAACCGAGCCAGATTCTCGCGTGCACAACCGATGCACCACCCAGTATGAGCCTGCCATTGGTGTGCCTCCCTCATAGGTTGTCTCCAGCGTCTCCGAAGAAGCGCATGTGCGCGTACGTGGCTTCGTCTCTACATCGCACGAATGGGTGGTTTCCGTAGAAAACGATACCAAAAAGGGTACCCTCAAAAACAGGGCGCAGCATTGGGTGCTTTTGCATTTTGAGGCAGACATCACACTCACCCGCAAGAGGTGCACACCCAAAGAGGGTTCCCTGTATTTCTCTCACCGCTCTCAAGGGATCATATGAATCTAGGGCCACAACGGAGGGATGCCAAAGCTACCCACAGGTACAGGTCCCATGTCCCTAGGCGTCAACCCCCATTAAAAGAAAGGGCTGGCCTAATTTGAATGACACAACTTTGCAGGGTAAGCAATGGTGGTGGACTATGAACCAATTTTTGTTTTAATGGTGCTAACTGAACCCCAGGGTGTCAATTTCAGGTGGAATATAATTCGCTGCAAATGGAGGCATCAACCTGTCTGCGACTCTGCCCACCTGATGGAGGTGAACTGGACCCACTCGGCACCTGAGCCGGAGCGAAAAGGGCAACCTCGCAAGCTGAATCCCGCAAAACGGTGGGTTGCGATGTTTGGCTTCCCTTTAAACTCACCGCCAAAAAGGACCCTCCAAACAAAGCCACGCCCAAACAGGCTTTACTGTTCCGAAACTCCTTTGCTCCCTGTTTTGTGCTACAATTGCCAGCCCTACTCTGGTTTGCTCGTGAAACCCAGCCAACGACCAAATGACAGCAGCCGAAAAACGTTCACCACCAAACCTCGATCAAACAAGCGCACTGGCTGTGGGATGTTCAACCTACTTAGTAAGTTGGTTATATCCGTTTGTATCAGGCAACTAACCCCAGTTGCCCAAGTTGTTGCCTTGGTTATAACCTACTTACTTGACGTAGGTTGAACATCCAAACTGTGGGAAATACGAATTTTCTTCGCGCCGGACAGATGCGTCCTAAGGAATCGCTGTGGTCCCCAAAGGAACCTTTACAACGCATCCAGCTGTTCAGTAACCCACAACAGGCAGAACAAGAATTGGGTTCTGTGTGCATTGACGATAAGTGACGCCAAACAACAAAAACTGTGGTTTTTCATTGAAACCATCGCCGCTTGAGGATATCGGAAACGGCTCGGAAACCCCAAACTGGTGCAACTGAACTTTGCCAATATTGAGCACCTCCCCCATACAACATATCAGGAAGACGTCCTCTATTGGGGCGTAAACCCCTGGCTGAGGGCGGACCAAAGGAAGCTCAACATGCCCGTTTCAAAGCATGTGGGTATATGTCAAAATAGGGATGTGGACCGCCAAAGTGGTGGTTTTCCTGTTGGTTTCCTTTTCAACCTACCCAAAACGGAAAATACTATCTTTATAAAACAAAAAAAAACAAACAACCACCTATCATATACATAGGCGGAATCACGATCAAGCAGCCAAGAACATACACACACACAAAGCATCGTGGGAGTGAAGGACCCATGAGAGGCGAGCTTTGCAAACCAATCCCACTGGATCCTGGCAAAACTAGACTTCGCTTCGGCATAGGCTGGAGTTTGAGTTGGTTGGGACGCTTATATGAACCCCGGACGGGCTTTCGGGCGTCTTTTCTTAGAGGACCTCGTAAATAAATATATATATATTCAAAAAAAAAAGAAACGTCCGGTAAAGCGGGAAAGTGGACGCTCAAAAAACACCCCGATTACGTTTCAAGGGACCTTATGTCAGCTTCCCTGGGAGGGTGCCGGGCCATTTTGCCGCTTCGCCATAATTCATGGTCTGCATGAGAGCCGTTTCCTTCCCAACAGGAGTGTCAGCAAAATAGAGAGAACCACAATGGCTCCGTCGATCAAGGGAACCCCATCTTTGTGGCCTTTGAAGGGAAGCCACAAGAAGAACCAATATTTTTTGGGATCCCCGCCGAAAAAAAACAACCACCATGTAGAACGACACAAATTTGAAAAACAACAAACGTTTTTGCGGCATACAACAAAGAAGTAGAGCCAAACAAGATCAAGCAACCAATACCCGGGCCGGGGTCTCCGGCGACTAAACTCATCAGGGAGCTGCTCAAGCTCCTCGCGAGGCGCATGCCCCACTTTGCTTTTCCGGATATGAATTTGTCTCAACATAGGCAGCCCAAAACTCAATTTAAGCCTCCAACAACCAGGTTAATCGCCATTAAACCAACAAATCGTGGGCCTCAAAGAACGAGGCATCCCTGCAAAAATTGCAGAACTGGGACACGTATCAGCCAACCCAGCGGGTCATTCACCAACTAGGCTCTTGTTTCTTGGGCAAAGATCTGCTTCAAAGGTACCTGAGTCTGCTCGACTCTACTCAACCCTCAAGCGAAAGGATTTGTTACCCACCCTGGCAACCCAAATGCTTGGTAACCGCCTAATTGATAGGCGGGGGTGCGACCCATTTGTCTGATCACAACCCCATTCCTGAGAATCGGTGCCCGACCAGCAACCTGAAGGATCAGTCACAGGAAAGGACCGCCTTGGTCAAGGAAAGCACAGAAAACCCTACGCCATTTGTGTACCTTTAGTGTAAAAAAAAAACCTACGCCATGTGTGTACTTTTAGTGGTTAGAAACAGAAAACCCTAAGCCATTTGTGTACTTTTAGTGGAAAGAAAACGAAAACCCTACGCCATGTGTGTACTTTGAGTGGTTAGTAACAGAAAACCCTAAGCCATTTGTGTACTTTTAATGGTTAGTAACAGAAAACCCTAAGCCATTTGTGTACTTTTAGTGGTTAGTAACAGAAAACCCTAAGCCATTTGTGTACTTTTAGTGGTTACTAACAGAAAACCCTAAGCCATTTGTGTACTTTTAGTGGTTAGTAACAGAAAACCCTAAGCCATTTGTGTACTTTTAATGGTTAGTAGCAGAAAACCCTAAGCCATTTGTGTACTTTTAGTGGTTAGCAACAGAAAACCCTACGCCATTTGTGTACTTTTAATGGTTAGTAACAGAAAACCCTAAGCCATTTGTGTACTTTTAGTGGTTAGTCATTTGTGTACTTTTAGTGGTTAGTAACAGAAAACCCTAAGCCATTTGTGTACTTTTAGTAATTAGTAACAGAAAACCCTAAGCCATTTGTGTACTTTTAGTGGTTAGTAACAGAAAACCCTAAGCCCATTTGTGTACTTTTAATGGTTAGTAACAGAAACCCCTACGCCATTTGTGTACTTTTAGTGGTTAGTAACAGAAAACCCTACACCATTTGTGTACTTTTAGTGGTTAGTAACAGAAAGCCCTAAGCCATTTGTGTACTTTTAGTGGTTAGTAACAGAAAACCCTACGCCATTTGTGTACCTGTAGTGGAAAGCACAGAAAACCCTACGCCATTTGTGTGCCTTTAGTGGAAAGAAAGAGAAAACCCTACGCCATGTGTGTACTTTTAGTGGTTAGAAACAGAAAACCCTAAGCCGTTTGTGTACTGTTTATGGAAAGAAAAAGAAAACCCTACACCATGTGTATACTTTTTGTGGTTAGTAGCAGAAAACCCTAAGCCATTTGTGTACTTTTAGTGGTTAGTAACAGAAAACCCTAAGCCATTTGTGTACTTTTAGTTGTTAGTAACAGAAAACCCTGAGCCATTTGTGTACTTTTAGTGGTTAGAAACAGAAAACCCTACACCATTTGTGGGTTAGTCACAGAAAACCCTACGCCATTTGTGTACTTCTAGTGGTTAGTAACAGAAAACCCTAAGCCATTTGTGTACTTTTAATGGTTAGTAACAGAAAACCCTGCACTTTTAGTGGTTAGTAACAGAAAACCCTACACCATTTGTGTACTTTTAGTGGTTAGTAACAGAAAACCCTGAGCCCATTTGTGTACTTTTAATGGTTAGTAACAGAAACCCCTACGCCATTTGTGTACTTTTAGTGGTTAGTAACAGAAAACCCTAAGCCATTTGTGTACTTTCAGTGGTTAGGAACAGAAAACCCTACGCCATTTGACCCTACGCCATTTGTGTACTTTTAATGGTTAGTAACAGAAAACCCTACACCATTTGTGTACTTTTAGTGGTTAAGCAATTTGTGTACTTTTAGTGGTTAGTAACAGAAAACCCTAAGCCATTTGTGTTCTTTTAGTGTGGTTAGTAACAGAAAACCGTAAGCCATTTGTGTACTTTTAGTGGTTAGAAACAGAAAACCCTACGCCATTTGTGTACTTTTAGTGGTTAGTAACAGAAAACCCTACGCCATTTGTGTACTTTTAGCTGTTAGTAACAGAAACCCTACGCCATTTGTGTACTTTTAGTGGTTAGTAACAGAAAACCCTAAGCCATTTGTGTACTTTTAATGGTTAGTAACAGAAAAACGCCCTACGCCATTTGTGTACTTTTAGTGGTTAGTAACAGAAAACCCTACTACGCCATTTGTGTACTTTTAGTGGTTAGTAACAGAAAAACGCCATTTGTGTACTTTTAGTGGTTAGTAACAGAAAACCCTACGCCATTTGTGTACTTTTAGTGGTTAGTAACAGAAAACCCTACCCTAAGCCATTTGTGTTCTTTTAGTGTGGTTACAAACAGAAAACCCTATTTGTGTACTTTTGGTGGTTAGAAACAGAAAACCCTACGCCATTTGTGTACTTTTAGTGGTTAGTAACAGAAAACCCTACGCCATTTGTGTACTTTTAGTGGTTAGTAACAGAAAACCCTAAGCCATTTGTGTACTTTTAGTAATTAGTAACAGAAATCCCTAAGCCATTTGTGTACTTTTAGTGGTTAGTAACAGAAACTCTAAGCCATTTGTGTACTTTTAGTGGTTAGTAACAGAAACCCCTGAGCCATTTGTGTACTTTTAGTGGTTAGTAACAGAAAAACCTACGCCATTTGTGTACTTAGTGGTTAGTAACAGAAAACCCTAAGCCATTTGTGTACTTTTAGTGGTTAGTAACAGAAAACCCTACGCCATTTGTGTACCTTTAGTGGAAAGCACAGAAAACCCTACGCCATTTGTGTACCTTTAGTGGAAAGAAAAAGAACACCCTACGCCATGTGTGTACTTTTAGTGGTTAGAAACAGAAAACCCTAAGCCATTTGTGTACTTTTCATGGAAAGAAAAAGAAAACCCTACACCATTTGTGTACATTTTGTGGTTAGTAACAGAAAACCCTAAGCCATTTGTGTACTTTTAGTGGTTAGTAACAGAAAACCCTACCCCATTTGTGTACTTTTAGTGGTTAGTAACAGAAAACCCTACACCATTTGTGTACTTTTAGTGGTTAGTAACAGAAAACCCTACGCCATTTGTGTACTTTTAGTGGTTACTCATTTGTGTTCTTTTAATGGTTAGTAACAGAAAACCCTAATTAGTAATTAGTAACAGAAATCCCTAAGCCATTTGTGTACTTTTAGTGGTTAGTAACAGAAACCCTAAGCCGTTTGTGTACTTTTAGTGGTTAGTAACAGAAACCCCTAAGCCATTTGTGTACTTTTAGTGGTTAGTAACAGAAAAACCTAAGCCATTTGTGTACTTAGTGGTTAGTAACAGAAAACCCTAAGCCATTTGTGTACTTTTAGTGGTTAGTAACAGAAAACCCTACGCCATTTGTGTACCTTTAGTGGAAAGCACAGAAAACCCTACGCCATTTGTGTACCTTTAGTGGAAAGAAAAAGAAAACCCTACGCCATGTGTGTACTTTTAGGGGTTAGAAACAGAAAACCCTAAGCCATTTGTGTACTTTTCATGGAAAGAAAAAGAAAACCCTACACCATTTGTGTACATTTTGTGGTTAGTAACAGAAAACCCTAAGCCATTTGTGTACTTTTAGTGGTTAGTACCAGAAAACCCTACGCCATTTGTGTGCTTTTAGTGGTTAGTAACAGAAAACCCTACACCATTTGTGTACTTTTAGTGGTTAGTAACAGAAACCCCTAAGCCATTTGTGTACTTTTAGTGGTTAGTAACAGAAAACCCTACGCCATTTGTGTACGTTTAGTGGTTAGTACTTTTAGTGGTTAGTAACAGAAAGCCCTACGCCATTTGTGTACTTTTAGTGGTTAGTAACAGAAAACCCTACGCCATTTGTGTACTTTTAGTGGTTAGTAACAGAAAACCCTACACCATTTGTGTACTTTTAGTGGTTAAGCAATTTGTGTACTTTTAGTGGTTAGTAACAGAAAACCCTAAGCCATTTGTGTTCTTTTAGTGTGGTTACAAACAGAAAACCCTAAGCCATTTGTGTACTTTTGGTGGTTAGAAACAGAAAACCCTACGCCATTTGTGTACTTTTAGTGGTTAGTAACAGAAAACCCTACGCCATTTGTGTACTTTTAGTGGTTACTCATTTGTGTTCTTTTAGTGGTTAGTAACAGAAAACCCTAAGCCATTTGTGTACTTTTAGTAATTAGTAACAGAAATCCCTAAGCCATTTGTGTACTTTTAGTGGTTAGTAACAGAAACCCTAAGCCATTTGTGTACTTTTAGTGGTTAGTAACAGAAACCCCTAAGCCATTTGTGTACTTTTAGTGGTTAGTAACAGAAAAACCTACGCCATTTGTGTACTTAGTTTGTAACAGAAAACCCTAAGCCATTTGTGTACTTTTAGTGGTTAGTAACAGAAAACCCTACGCCATTTGTGTACCTTTACTGGAAAGCACAGAAAACCCTACGCCATTTGTGTACCTTTAGTGGAAAGAAAAAGAAAACCCTACGCCATGTGTGTACTTTTAGTGGTTAGAAACAGAAAACCCTAAGCCATTTGTGTACTTTTCATGGAAAGAAAAAGAAAACCCTACACCATTTGTGTACATTTTGTGGTTAGTAACAGAAAACCCTAAGCCATTTGTGTACTTTTAGTGGTTAGTAACAGAAAACCCTACCCCATTTGTGTACTTTTAGTGGTTAGTAACAGAAAACCCTACACCATTTGTGTACTTTTAGTGGTTAGTAACAGAAAACCCTACACCATTTGTGTACTTTTAGTGGTTAGTAACAGAAACCCCTACGCCATTTGTTTATTTTTAGTGGTTAGTAACAGAAAACCCTACGCCATTTGTGTACTTTTAGTGGTTAGTAACAGAAAACCCTAAGCCATTTGTGTACTTTTAGTGGTTAGTAACAGAAACCCCTACACCATTTGTGTACTTTTAATGGTTAGTAACAGAAAACCCTACGCCATTTGTGTACTTTTAGTGGTTAGTAACAGAAAACCCTACGCCATTTGTGTACTTTTAGTGGTTAGTAACAGAAAACCCTACACCATTTGTGTACTTTTAATGGTTAGTAACAGACAACCCTACGCCATTTGTGTACGTTTAGTGGTTAGTACTTTTAGTGGTTAGTAACAGAAAACCCTACACCATTTGTGTACTTTTAGTGGTTAGTAACAGAAAAACCTAAGCCATTTGTGTACTTAGTGGTTAGTAACAGAAAACCCTACGCCATTTGTGTACGTTTAGTGGTTAGTACTTTTAGTGGTTAGTAACAGAAAACCCTACACCATTTGTGTACTTTTAGTGGTTAGTAACAGAAAACCCTACGCCATTTGTGTACTTTTAGTGGTTAGTAACAGAAAACCCTACGCCATTTGTGTACTTTTAGTGGTTAGTAACTAAATGGCTATCACCAACCACAGTTGCAAGACCCCCAGCGCATTGGTCCCCTTTCGCATTTCAGGTCAGCCTTTCGCCGGGCCTCGAGCCATTGGATGGTTGGTTCCTTTCCTTTCCAGCCGTCGATTTTTGCCGACCACCTCTGGCGCGGTGTTTTCCGACATGTTCAACAAGGGCCTGCGAGGAATTGTTGGGAAGGACAGCAAGTGAGGAAATGGGGTAATGATCCAGCTTGAGGACTCTGATGGTTGCCAGGCGGGGGAACTTCTAGTGGTGGAATCCACGAAACATGTGGTTTGCTGCCCAGCCCCACCACAAACTGCAAATCATGAGGGCCCCCTGGTTGCAAGTTTGTTTGTCCGTCTATCCACGCAAACAATGGAAAGAACACCGTGAGAATTAAGCAGAGAGGCCATTGATCTCCCAGAATATCTGGTGCTGAGGGATTCGGTCTTCCCATATGGCCTAAGAACCTGTTCATAGTTTACCAATCCAAGCCAATGGAGGGTACAAGAGGGTACAAGCGCCTGAGAACTTCAGAACCAATCTTTGTCATGACTGGAGTAGACCCTTAGTAATTGTTGAGGACCTAATCGTAACCTGACCAGTCCAGCCCCCGCAAAACGGCTGCTCTGTCCGGCTTGGCGTCTGCGCGGGGCCGAATCCTGGACGGTGCAAACGGCAAACGGGCAAAGATGTGGGTTTGTCTCAAAATGGGAATCGGAACCCCCCAAAATGGTTGATGTCTTTTGCTTTACCTTTAAAACCACGCCAAAAAGGGCATCCTTGGAAAAGACACACGCATACGTATATATATATATATGAGTTGTCAGGCAACGCGGTACCAACTTGTAGCAAAGAACATAACGCAAACCCACAAAAGGAACAGAACAAACACCTGCGAGCTCAGTGTGAAGCAATTCCATTGGGTGGTTTTATCCACCCGAGTTTCAAAGGTTTCACGTCTTCCGCCGGCTTCCGACGTGACGAAAAACCGACGTGACGGGTTCGACTCCCCTCGGCCGAGGTGCTCGTAGATCTTGATGGGCTTCAAGGGCCGCTCCTCAGGCCTTGTCCCGGGCCCCGGGCAGAAGGATCGACCCAGTTGGGACACAAAGTTTGAGGTTCGGTTTTTGTTTGGTTTTGGGGGATGGGGAGGTTGCGGACTCATTGGCCCCGGAATTCCGCGGCCGGGAAATAAAGGCTTCACCGTTTGGACCTCGACAAACGGAAGCCCAACCAGAAAAAGGAAAGGTCCTTTTGGGTGGATTCGCCATGGAGTGAGAATACTCTTGGTTTTGAATGTAACGTCAACGGGGCGATCTACTCAAAACGGGCGATCGGATGTTGTGTGCGACAGGTTGGTTTCCACTGAAAGGGACCTTTTGCGCTCCAAATTGGTGAGAGTGCAACTGGTTGCTGGTTAGTAACCCTGGTGGATGTGTCTTGGAATAGGGCCTTGAATACGGAGCTTAATACGGCGATTGTCTTTTCTGTCTAAACCAACCAAAAACTGGAGTACCCTTGAAAACCAACAAACCCTTGCACCCCCATGGTCACAAACTTCCCACACGCACAAGATCGCACCTTTAAACTTTAATGGGCCCCCAACCTGAAGGTTCAATTCTTTCGGGGTTGACATCCACGCTTTCTTAGTTTCACTTCCAAAAAATCCACTTCCAAAAGTGGCCGGCAATCTAAGATGGTTTCCATTCCCCTCCGAACCACTGTAGAGGTTCAATGGGATATAACGCCAGCCATTTTCCCTTGGTGCTGGTTCGGGGCTATTTGGTGTCTATGACCAAACCACAGAGGTACCTCACCAGATCGATTCCAAAGCCCAGCCAAAATTGACCTGAACCCAGGTCCCTATAGGTCCTCCAAATCAACCATATTGAGGCATCCTACACCATTCTGTCTTGTTTGAGGGTACCCTTTTGGGTTTGTTTGAAGGCAAGGCCAAGAGGAAACAGGGCTGCGCCATTTGGAGACAAGCCAATGTTTGGTAATATAACATGTGCAGCCCAGTAACAAGTATAGTAGGTACCCATCCGTTGTCCTTTCGGTTGTCCAAGGGTGAGACACCCCTTGGCTACTTACTATGCAGGTAAATGGAAGCCTAGGTCCTCCAGTAACTCAGTAAGAGAGTTTAGAATAAGGGTACCCTTTTGGCACACGGCGGGCGACGATTCGCCGGCTGACGGATGCCTGCCGCCCAACCATCTGGCCAGGCCTGGTGGGACTGGTGCCCACCAGTTACACATACCACAGCGACTGTGGCAGAGTGAAAAAGAAGCACTCCCAGCCGCTGGGTGAAACGGCTCCTCCAAGGGCAGGACGCCCGCTACTCCAGTGCCCAAGACTCCATGCGCACCACCTAGAGGCCGGCTGCGACGAGGACCCCCATCTCCAGGATGGTAGAGGAGGCCACCACCAACGAGCCACCACCACCACTGCACCCACTGCATTGTCAAGCGAGGGACCCAAGCGAAAAGGCCCAATCGCGAGGGACACGGCCAAGCCTGGCTGCCCGCAGCCGAGCACGCTCAAGGAAGGCATCCTCCTCCGGAGTGCACTGCAGCCGCACTCCAGAGAAGGCCCCCCTAAACCAAGCCAGGCCCGCAGAAGCACCCAAGCGGGGCTCCCACTTACCCGGGAAGGCAAGTGGGGCCCTACGGGTGATACAGCGCCGAGCTGCTTTGAAGTGTACCAAAAGGTCCTGCGCCGTGGCAGCGCGGCCATCCGGGCAACGCAACTGCAAGGCCAGGCTGGAAGGAGTCCTCAGCGAGCCGCCATACTGCACCATGTAGAAAACTGCTCCATGCCTCCCACGACGAGGAGCCCATAGTCCAGTCACCGGGTTTCCCCGGCGGGGGAAATGCATCGCAGAAACGCGGAGGGTTTCACACAGAAACGCGGAGGGCCAGGGCAAGGGGCCGGGAAAGGCTCAGGAGGGGCTTCAGCTACAGGGCACAGGGCTCCACCAGGGTCAGGGGCAGGCACAGGGGGAAGGGGGGTGCGCGGCAGGGCAAGGAACAGACGCTGCAACCACATGTGACGGCGGTAGGTGGCAAAGAAAAGGGCATCAAGCCGCCAGGCAGGGGCAGCCAACGAAGCACGGGCGGCGGCCTTGGCGGCAAGATCAGCCGCATGGTTGCACCGGGCATGCATAGCCTCAAGCGGGTGTGCTCAGCGGAGACCACGACGTGCCCGCGAATCCAATGCAACTCAAGGCAGAAACCACCACCAGCACGAGACTGCACAAGAGTCCACAGGACCTGCCAGAGATCAGCAGCCGCAAAATGCGGCGCAACCGCAGCAGACTCACAAATGGCATGCCACACGCCTGGACGCCAGCCTGGGAGTCAGTATGCACCACCAGGTGACCACGTGCGTGCATCGCACGCACAATGGCGTACACCTCCGCACGGTAGTTGCCCGCAAAGACACCAGGGACCGAGCCGGAGTCAACCGTGGCACGCGAACCCGACACAATGGCGAAACCAGCCGCCGCAAGGAAGGGGTGCTGGGGCAAGTAGACACTGCCATCAGTCCAGAGGTGGCTGAGGCCCGTAACGTGGAAAGGGAGAGGTGGTAGGCCAAGGCTGAGCAGCACACAAGGCTGGCCTAAGGTCCGCAGGCACTTCAAGAAGCCCATGAGTGGCAAAGGCCCCCTGGTCAGGGACGAGGGGCGGGGGGGGCCCAACCTCCCCAGACAGCGCCTGACACCCAACAAGATGACCAAGGGTCTCAGGCTCACAGCCACAGACGGACAACCCGGAGGCATAGAGACGGTCCGCAGTGACAGCCGAACCAGCAACAACCGCAGGAGGGCCGCAACATTGAGGATGGTGCGGTACGGTAGGGCATATTCAGGATGAACCAAGTGGCCCGGATGGACAACCGCAAGCAACAGTTCACGGGACCTCCACATGGGGCGACCATCCCAGAGGACAGAAGCAACCTCCAAAGCAAGGGCAGAGAGAACACGCTTGGGCACAAAGTTGAGCTCGGCCGCGTACGACAGCATGGGCATGGCCTTCCGAGCAATGAAGGAAGCCTTAGAGACAGCGGAGAGCGGGAGGCTTCGTATGGCACGGAGCGCCCGCCGAAAGCTCATGACAGCAGGAGCACGAGCATCACTAGTGCCACGGAGGTCCAGGTTGATGGTAACGCCCAAGGGTCGAAGGGCCTTCAGCCGAGGGGCCAGTGGCAAAGCAGGCTCAAGCTCAGCAACACATGCATCATGGGTGGCCCACCAACCCGACTTGTGGAGGTTGAACTGCTGGCCCGCCAGGGCATCAAACAGAGAGGTAGCCCGAACCGCCTGCACCAGGTTGGGCACCGCCTCCAAAGTGGTCACCGTCATGTACCCATCGTCAACGAAAACCCTGGGTGTGACACCAGGGAAGTGACGAATGAGAAGGGACCACGCCGTCATCAGAACGTTGGCCGCAAGCACGGAGAGGGAGCACCCTTGGGCAATGCCGTTACTGTTGGCCAAAGGCACAGGGTGGACAGCGCCACGCAAACGCAAAGATGGCGGTGAGATAGTCCTGAGTCCGATTGAAAATCTCATCATCGGAAGAAGCGCCAGAAATCGCATAAAAATTAAGTGCAAGCATGCGAAAGGAGCCAAACGTGGCCCACACCGCGTGGAAGCGGCCCGAGGCAAGCAGCGAGGACAGGAGGCCAGATGCATCCTGTTGAGGATCAACAGGATGGACAGTGCAGTGCCACGCGAGGGAGGCAACGCCTCCCCACTCTACCCGATGGACACCATTCACGTCAGGGACAACAGAGAGCAGGGGGCCAGGAGTTAAGGTGCGGCCAGCCTCAGAAGCACGGAAGGTAACCGAGCGCACATTGTCAGCAGACAAGCGGGCCAGCATCGACAGTGAAGAGCTCAGGATGGGCAGCCAGAGAACCGACATTGTGCGAACGGAGAGTGAAAGGGCCCTCACCAGGAAAGCCGCAAGTGGCATCAAAAACGCGGTACAGCACACGCCACCCGATAGCAACAGAAACAAGCTCAGCACACCAATTGAAAGAGAGACAGCGATTGCCAGTACCAGCACCCAAAACACTGTGGGTCAACCAGGGACCCGTCACCCCACAGGGCCGCAACGGCCCACATAGTCAAGCTCCCATCCGAGCTGCCTTGGCAGACGGGGCCAAGGCATCCTCAGTCACGCCTCCACAGGTCGGCTTGGATACTGCCTCAGAATGCGCGTGGGCCGAAACCTGCTCAAACTGGGTCTCAACTTTGTCCGCCAGGCTGTCCTGCTTAGCCTCAAGGCCCCCCAGACGCTGCTCCAGCGCATCAACACGAGATTGAAGTCCAGCAGGGCCAGGGCAGAAGGGCCAGGTCGGGAAATGGTGGAGGTGTCAGGACGAGAGGGAATCTGGGCAGAATGACCTCACAGGGACGCCCAGCAGACAAGAGGGTAAAGTCCAAGAGGGAAGGGGCCTGGGCAAAGGCCAAAACCCAAACAAGGATGCCGTTGCGCCGGAAAGAGCGCAAAGGGATGCACGGGGTGCCAACGGCTTTATGAACAGCCTCAACGATAGCACCCGGCGTGGCTCCAAACGGCAGACCCTCAGCCAGAAAGCTGACACGAGGGATAAGGGAGCGGTTGGCCTCAACGAAGCGAGGATCCTCCTGCAGCAAGGCTCTGCGAGCGTCCGCGATGTGAGGGTGCAGAACACGCACAGTGATGCCGCGCTTCAATGGGGCGAGGCCGGCAAAGCCTTCCAGGGCCCGGGAAACAGCCAGGGCAGCGCGAACCCCCTCCGGGTTAAGAGGCCAGAAGCGATGGACAACAGAATGGTCCTGGGGATCCGCTCCCTGGGCCAAGAAATCCCGCACAAAGAAAGGCCCAGTGCCCGAGAGACGCAGGAAGGCAAGCCGATGAGCCAACGGGAGTTTCACAGTAAACTGCACCACCCGACCCAAGTTGTGAACAGTGCCCTGGAGAACACGGAGAGTGTAGACGGACTGGACAACCGATGCCTGGTGGGAGGTCTCCAGGAGGGCCCGAAGGTCCACAGCAGGTTTGGCCAAGATGCCAGCAAAGTCACCAAGCCTCAAAGCTCTCAACGACAAGCTCAACGAAATCAACCGTGTGGATGACCGTAGCAGCCTCAACGGAGGGACGGTAGGTAATGCCAGGGAGGAGGTGGACAAGCACAACCTGTCGCTTGTAGGTGAGAGCCGCAACAGGGTCCAGGACGCTGATTTGGAGGGGACCGACAGAAGACGGAAGCGAGGGCAGGGTAGCCCGCGAAGTCCCAGGCACGATCAGAGCCGTGGGTGCAGTGACGTGGGCCTTGAGACTGTCCGCAAGCAAGCTGGCGGGGCAGAAGGCGAGGCCTGATACCAGCGGCCCAAGCTGTCCGCGAGGGACCAAGACGGGCGCAACTCCAAGCTCAGCAAGGATAAAGGCATGGTCCTCAGGCAACACGAGCTGTTCCCACTTGGCATGTCCTTTCCTGGCACCTCGTGGCGCGCACTTGGCTGTGGGGGGTCAAGCCTGGGGGAGGGGCCCACAGGTCATGCATGGTCAATGGGTCCACCGGTACCATCTCATCATCATCACAGGCCAGGGATACGGCCGTTTCACTGGACCCGAAGCCACCCCCAGGCAAGGGGAAGAGACGCAGCACAACATGCTGCCCAGGCAAGTTTTGTCAGCCGTAGTGGTATCAGCGACAGAGTGGCCTTGGACAAAGGGCCGGACATGCATCAGGAGGCGATCAGGAAGGGGCAGAGCCCACACAAGCTGCCGCAGCGTAGCCGTCCGAGGAACGTGAAAAACGTGTTCCCGACGCATAGGGTCATGTAAGTGGACCCTCACTTCCGGCGGCACCAGAACCGGGGGAGGGGGTTGAGGGGCAAGCTGCTCCGGCTCATGGGCGGGGACAACCGCCAAGTCATGTCCGGTCAGGTCCCCCGCCGACTCACGCGGGAGCCACACCCGAGCAAATGTCGACACAGCAAGGAGTGGCAGGACAACTGGAGGAAGGCGGGCCGTGAGAAGAACCAGAGAGACCGACGCCCCAACAGGGTAAGTGACCTCAACACGCAAGCCAGCAGGTGAGTGGAGGATCGAGCGCGCAGCACCCATGCGGTAGGGGAAGACCATCCGGGGGAAAACCTCCTCACCAACCACAATTGGTGACCCCTCAGCATCAGCCCTCACAGGGGCCTGAGGATGGAAGGCGAAGTCAATGAGCTGGTCCAGGGCTCCAACGAAATACCAACCTCGCACAATGGCAGGACGCAAGACAGTGCCCCGAAGCCGGTGACGCCAAACGCGCAGAACCAGGTGTTCCGGGACCTCAACGATGTGTCCGGCAGCACGCAGGAGCACAGCCCAAGGAATGGCAGCCTGTGGGACTGAGATACAGTTGCCCAAGCCATGGAACGCCTCCTCCAAAGTAGGAGGAAAAACCAGAGGGCGAACAGCTCCCAGCCATAAAGCCCATTGAGCAGGAGAGAAGAAAGCTGGGCGACCATCAACAAGGGTGAGCTGGGCAAACAGCCCCCTGTCGGCCAAGGTAGCAGCAGCAAGGACATGCTGCTGGGTGTACCGAGCACAAAGTGTGCGCAGCGGCTGATCAGTAGGGGCAAGCCTCCTTTGAAGGACCTCTTGCGCAGTGCGCGAGTGGGGATCAGCACCAGGCATGAAGGCAGGATTGGTGTAGTGCCGGAGGACCTGGTCATCAAGCAAGCGCGCAAAATCAAACTCAGGGGCTTCCGGCACCTGAAAGTCCTGGTGTGTCCACGGCGCGGGCACAGGGTCAACAAAGGAGACAGTGGGAGCTCAGAGACCTCCACATCAAACCGAAGCAGGGTGGCAAGCCAACGGCGTCTGGTGCATGGGCCAAAGGTGGCGTGGTCGTGGACCAGTGAGTGGTGGACCCGGTAGCCAGCCCATTGGATAGCAGCAAGTATGATGGGGAAGTGCGGATGATCCGGCAACCCATCAACACACTCCATGAGCAGAGCCAGAGGGGCAGCAGCTCGAGCCCACGCCAGGGCAGCCACAAAGGTCATGCCATGAGGATCCCCAAGACCATCTTGCTCACCAGCTCGGGACCACGGAGGGCAAGGCGGTGAGGCAGTGGTTTCATGAGTGCCCTTCCATGGCACTACATGCAACAACGCAAGATCAGCCACATCCGACAGGATCACCGCCTGGGTAGGGGTAGGATTCAGATTGACGGGGAGCACACAAGGAGCATCCAGCGCAACAGACAGCGAGGCAGCAACCTGAGGCGAGAAGTCCACCATGAGCTCCTGCTGGATGTCCAGGCCCACCAACTGCCTGATGGCCTCAGCAGCCTGACCCCATCCATGAAAGGACCCCGCAAAAAGGTGAGTGACAGCCAGCGGAGCGCCAAAGTCAGGGTCAGGGACAATCCAGACCTGCGAGTCAAGGTCCACCAAGGCCACACGAGGCATGGTGCCAGCCCGGTTTAGGAGAGTGGTGAACTGCGCTGGGGCTCTCAGGAGCATCTCAAACATGAGCCGGCGCACCCGAGGAGTGGCATGCAGGTCGGGCGGAAGCCCAGGGGAAAAAACAGAGCACGCCCACTCCGTTGGGGTGATCCCAGCCTCAACTCTGAAGTGAAGGTCGGCATGACCGCGCCAGGCCTCAGGGTCTGGATCATGGAAGAAGACCACCTCAGACATCAGGGCATCAAGCGTGGCCAGAGTGGCAGAGGACAGGGCAGACAGAGCCCGCAGCACCGCAGGGTCCCGAGACAACATGGCCACCAGGCAACGACAGGCAGAGCCCCAGCACGCACGAAACCGCCGCCACACAGCAGAGCAGACCGGGGGGACCGCGCACAAAAGAGAGCGGGGCGCCACGGAGGAGACCGTGGCTTGGTGGACGCCTGACGCACAGGGGAGTGTCGCCAGGCCCTGGGAGCCCGATCCCTGAGCCCTAATGGTTTTGGACCAGAACGGCTATAAGGGTACCCTTTTTCCTGTAGTCTATTTCAGTAGGAGCACCCTCCCTCCCCAAAAAAAAGGTAAAAGGGCACTACTAGGGGACCTAGAAGCACTGGGTATCAGCCATCGCTTGACCTGAGGCTTTTGGGTCTGACAGACACCGAGAGGCCTGATGAGGGGCGGCGAGGTGACGCTGTCGTTGAAGGTCATGCGGATCACGTCGTGCCTCAGAGATCCAAGTAAAAAAACAACATCCTTTTCAAAAGCTGGACAAAGTGATACTCCCGGGAAAAAGTTATAGTTCCTTTTTAAAAGGAACCATAACTTTTTGAGCCCACGCGCATGTTCACAACGCATTCTGTGGTCAGGGCCCCTGGAAAAGGACCCTTCTGATGGTTATCTGTTTTTTCTTCGGCCATGCACGCCTTGCGCGAGCGCGCTTAGGCGCCAACTCTGGTGATGGTTGTCTAAGAATCCGATGAGAGGGCCCATGACCATCCCCACAAACCTCATGAACAGGGGGCTGTCAACCATACAAAAATGAGGCTCGATACCTTTTCAGCTTGGTTTAAAAGCCCATTCTTGATGTGCCCCTCATTCGACACATACGCAAAAAAGGCGCCGTTTAAGCCACCCAACTAGGGAGCAACCAGTCCAGTGAAACTGAATTTGGATGAACGACTGTCCAACAAGGGATGTGTAAACTGGCCTCAAAGCGGAAGATTGGATGGGGCATGCTAGTCTGCTTCAGGATCTGGACATGTTTGACATTGTCAAGGAACCCAATCGTGGGTTGCTTGGGCTCGTTTTCACTCTCTTGGGTGGCATCGAATCACGTATAGACATGGGGCTTGCCCTACCTCACAGCGTCAGGGACTGGGGTTCCCGAAATCAGGGTAACATTCACTACACAAAGCGAAGAATGGAGTATGACACGTGGCGTGGTGGCAAGTCAACCTCCCCAACAGGACTAGGACACATTGGGCCGCCGGGATTTTCTGTGAAATATTGGCTAGGACCCCATCTCTTCGCAAACTAACAACAGACTTCGTGTCAGTTGCTCAACTATTCCAAACGGGGTGCACATCCCCTTTTCGGAACTTCTGCTAGAAATGGATGATTCGTTTGGCTCTCCGGCCCGTTAGCAGGCAACCCATGGTCCTCCTGATTCTGGTTGACTCCTATAGAGAGTTTAGAATAAGGGGAACCCTCCCAACCAAAAAAGAAACGGTAACAGGGCACTACTCGGGGACCTAGATAGTTAGGTTCATGCAAGATGTTTCTGATATACTGGAGCTACACGTCTGCGAACTTCACGACGCTGGCGACAGCCAGCTGGACTTCTGTGTGCAATGATATACCTCACTTCAATGGCACGCCCGCAACACTAGGCTCAAACAGCTTTCAGAATCACGGATCTTGGGTCTCATTACTCCGGCGCGAGTGGCTTGCTCGTGTTTCTTTCCAAGGCTTGGAAGTCATTGGGCCTGACCTGCGGAAAAAAGGCGGTAATGAACCTGTAAGGTCTATGACCCCCAAGGTTGTTGGCATACCCATTCAAGGATAATGGGAAATCAAGCAGCAAAGGGGGTCCATTGATATCCGTAGCTTCCTGTAACGTCTACAAGCAACCGTTGAGAGATGGTCAGAGATGGCCCTTTGGGCTCATGCCATGAATCAAACTGCTTGGCATGAATCCAACCACTGGGCCAACCAACAGCCCCACAATTGAAAGGATGCTGAACTTTAGCAATCGAATCGGGCCCCCTTTTGACCAGACCCGCCCTTTTTCCCTGACACCCCCAAACAAATGCAATTACAACCACTCTCAACCCCAGCGGCGTGTGCAACAACTCCCAAGAGTCTCCCCGCTCAACCCAAACCCCCAGCGGCCATGAAGAAAAAAACAACGGCACTCTTGTTTTGGTTGACTTTCTTCTGGGGCCCTCCCAACGAAAGTTGAAGAGGGACGCATCGCCAATCGCTGGACCACTGGGCGTGTCAACCCCGAGGCGCGAAGCGAAACGCGCGCGCGAGAGCGCGCGAGTTCGCTCCAAGGGGCGTGATGTAGCAGGTGTCCTTCAAGCAGAACTTCCAGGAGGTGTCCTGTAGCCGCGTAGCCGCGCGTGGCCCACTGCTCCGACGAGTTTTTTTGTTTTTTCAGACTCAAAAGCAGTTCACCCGAGGAAAAACATACACACGCACACACACACACACACATGGACCAAAAGAGGTCGCGTTTAGAAAATCACCCATGGAAAACAGTTGCAGAGCTGGCAAAAGTGCGTTGCTCTCCCTGAGGTGGAAAAAGGTAGTGACCGACCTTTTCCAGGTTTGATGGAAAAACCATTTGCGTCCAAAAGGCCTCTCCGTTTTGGCGTGACCCTGGCATTTTGCGCCCCAAAGAGGTCCAAAACGTGGTCCACATGGAGTTTGTTGCTCTGAAATGGTTGAAACAAAGAACCTTGTTGGGTTGGATTCAGTTTTAGTGGGTGGAACCACCGAGGTCTAGTTTGTGGTCCAAAGTGTCATGCGCACCCAAAAACCTTTACAAGACGGCTTATTGCCCAAACTTTATGGGGTTGATTCCAATTTTTGAGGATAGTTTGAGGGCTAGCCCGCATGAACCACTATATATTTGTTGCCTTTCTCAGTTTTTAGTGACAGCAACCACATCAAGCAGCAAATTCCCCGGTCGGTGAGGTCCCGTGGCTCTGGCTCTGGTGCTGAACATGGCAAAATTTGGGCCTGGCCCCCGCCCCCCCACGTCCCCATATATGTCAGCGTAGCGGATCAAACTTCTGCTTCTCCAACAGGACAAAATCGGGTCCCCTGGCGTCTTTGCGGCAGATTTGGGTTTGCCCTTCCAAGTCCTCATCCCATGACCCATTGCTTGAGCGCACCGAAACCTCGCGGCTGTATCTCTCGGATCAGCTGGCCTTGTGGTACTCATTCGCCTTGTTGAGCACATCTTTCAGCTCCTCGTGCGCTCGGGCAACGCTCGCTTGAGTCGCGGGTACAGCACCAGACAGCTCGAAGCAACCGGACAACACCCCCTCGCACTCAAGCTTCCGGGTGCCGGGTTTGGGGGCCGAAACTTACCTGCAGCAGGTCTTGAGTTTCAGGAGCCGACCTGTCTGTAAGGCTGCAATCCAACTCCTGGTTTTTCAGTCCTCTAGTGGCTTTAAAGTTAAAAGGGTTACTCGGTTACTCACCCACTTTTCTGCCCTGTGAAGCAAGCTCCTTCTGTGCATTCGACCTTTAGACCTGGTGGCTAGGTCGGAGTCACACCCATCCGTACCGGCCTCCCCACACTCAATGTTCTCCTCAGAAAAAGGCTGTTGGGAAATTCCAATCCCCCTCCTTTTTAACCACACTACGGCCAGCACCTTTCTTCCAAAATGAAAAGTGAGCCTTCCAGAAAAACAAAGACTCTGGCACGTCCCACCAGGGCTTCCTCTTCTGCACATCGATTTCGGGGGAGCCGGTTCTCATGGTTCTCCTTGCCGAGATTTCAGGGGGGGGTGTGAGTGAAGTCCTTACTGGTTTCTTTGGCTCAAAACTCAGGGTTGAGCGAAACATCTCTTCGGTGCCAGGCACCACTACTATGAACGAAGACAACGAATACACGTTTGAACGGTTCAATTCGTGCTTCGAGCGAGTCACTGTATGTTTAAGCAGCCATCTTTGTACCATAAGATCCCAAACAGGTTAGCATTGGGGTGTGGGGTACTATGAACAAACAAGTTACTTCATCATCATGAGATAATCATGTATGTAACCATTAAGCCTCGTAACGTTGTCGTGATTCAAGTATATGGATGATCCGCCCGGCCCCGAAGGCTCCTGGTTGTCGCTTTTGGTGAGCTTGTGCCTCGGCGATAGTCCACAGCCAAGGAACGAGTCACACTGACCAAACGACAACCATATGGGTGTCCTTTTGTAGGGGTTCCTTTTGGTTTTCCTTGAAAACCAACCAAAAGGTGTGCCCTCAAAAAGACACACACACACACACACATGTCGGCGACTAGAATGCAACCTTGTCAACCCATGAGATCTTTCATCTGGGTGTGTCTTTCTTAGGCGACCTCAAAAGAGAATAGATGTCTTTACTGTTCTCCTTTTGGTTTCCATATAAAACCACAAAACAAAACGAGGTTCCCCTAAAAAAGGAACCACACCCATCTCAACTCCCGGTTTTATTGGGGGTTGCAACTTCCCCACTGCTCAGAACTCGGAAAAGGGACACTGGCGGATAATTGATCAACCAGCGGTCTTCCTGGGTTTCCATTGCGGGAAAGGCCGCAGATGAGCTCGGAAGTTGTGGCGCTGGCAGTTGCCTCCCTGACTTATCCCTCATTCAAATGTGAGGTTGCGTGGTAAGGCTGATCTCGTTCACCTGTCATTCTTTTCCGACACCCCCCCCATTTCAAGGGTGTTCAATCCTTTCATTTCAAGGAGGGGGTCCATTCCTTTCAGATACCACCGTGTCCACGGCTTTCGCCCTTTTCAATCCCTGGATGCGCGATGGTTGGAGTTGTGTGGATCCAAAAACATCGTCCGATTCCAAACATTTTCCAATATGGGTGTGTCTTTGTTGGAGTAGACCTTTTCTGGTGGTTGTGGAGGCAATCCACGATACTTTTGGGGTGCAAATCCTCAAAAAAAGACAGACCCTATTTCCAAGTGGAAGTGGTCCACCAAATCACCCACCGCCAAATCGGCCCGCCAAAGATCCATGATGATCCATGTTTTGCTTTCTTTGGTTTCGGGGGCCCGGCACCAGGTAGTCGAGGATGTGGCAGGCCCTGTCCTTGTTCACGATGATGTTCCCCCTCAGCCCGGCCGAAAGAAATACCCGGCTCCAGATTGATTTAGGGCCCGATTTAACCGCCAGGTTCTGAGACCAACTTTTCGTCCAACGGAGGGTCTGGGTCTTCCATTGAAAGCCCCAGGAGCATCTGAGTACGGCAAATAAACGAATAATTTAGTGACAGATGGAACAAATGCAAAACACACGAGTTAACAAATAACTAACCACATAAATACAAACAATACAGAATCTAATCAGCAAACAAATGAGACAATATCAAGCAAGAACAATATAAAATACAATCAACACATATAAACTACAATACATTGCGGTTCTACTGAA